AAGGTTGCAGAAAAGCTGGTTCCATACCTGGACAGATTACTGGTGCATCCCAGGGCTAACATAGAAACAGGCAACAGTTCACATTGTTTCATCATCTAATAATTGTTTTTCTTTCCTGAACAAGTTTGCTCTTAAAGTTAACTCCATTCTGGGAGAGTGACTCTTCTGAGCTTCTGCTCAGCTCTGTTGAGAATCATTAAAGTGATGGTTGGGACTTCCAGTCAATCAATTGAAATACATTATGGATTTCAAAATCTTATTTGGTTTTCATATGTACCTATTTTCAGTGATATCAACTTTAATAGCAGGAAATTAACTAGGCATAATTCTTTTTTATGTGTGTTTTTATTGTTCTGGGTCTTTTGACCGAGCATTTTGAGTTAATGGGGCTTCTTTGTGCTAATTTTGTAGGTTTCTATTATTTAGTATTGAGTTTAGTCCCGGTTTTGCTTCCATGTTTAGTTTTATTTCTGATTCCATGTCTTCTTGTCGATGTGCTTCGTGTCCTTTTTCTGTTTACATGTTTCCCTCCTTGTTTTTTATTCCATCTCTTCCCTCTCTGTCATGTGCTTTCCTATACATTTTCCCCAGCCCATCTCGCCTCTCTCCCCCCCTCCATGTCTCATCTTTCTTAATTATTCTGTATTACCCTCTTTGTGTCTCCTCTGTTTGTCTCCCCAGTCTTTCTTGTTCCCCTTTGGGTTCCTTCCTCCCGGCCTCATGTCAGGCCGTGTGTTCTTGTCTGCGTCTTAGTGTTTTACTTTGACAATGTTGCATCCTGTGTTTAGTGTGTTTGTTTGTGTGCTTCTGTCTCGATTAACTTCTCCCAACTGTGTTCCCCGTGTATTTCCACTTCCCTCGTCACCATCATGTGTATTTATTGTGCAAGTTTTCCTTCTTTCATTTTCAGATCGTCTCTTAACCCTTCCAGTATTTTTATATTTTTTGTTTGTTTGTTTGTTTTTTAATCACAGGTTCCTAAAGTCACCTAATCTGAATAAAAGATTCTGGGCAATAGTCAGACCAACCAATGGAGCATTCACTCTCTTCCTGGCTTTGCATATTTGTGACACAGTGAGTTAATATTACCTTTACATTTCTGTGTAGAGGTATTGGTTTCCACACCTATATACACAATACACAGACTAAAAGCCTCAAAGCAGCTCTTTAATGAAAATAAGCTATTTCACACATGTTTTCTGCAAAGTAGATGACATCTATATGTCACAGTCAAACCACAAAACGAACGAATCTTGAAAAAAAAGCAATCTTGAAATTACGTAAACATAAACCCAGATGAACAATGCCACCACATGACATATTAGACCAAGTAATCATTTATTCAACATGATTCGGTACCTTTTAGAATCGTCTTTACCAGCAATAGGTAACTTCACATCTGAGCAGACAAGCATCACATGTGGAGTTCCCCAAGGTTCCATCTTGGGACCCC